TTTTAACACTCAAATAACACCGCTACACCCCAAACACCATACCAACACTGCAGGGAACCCAAAACCAAGCTACGTGGAGGTAGTAAAAGGCATTGGAAGTAGAGGCGACGACTGGATAGCCAATAAAGGTATCAAACCTGTCCAACACGGGATCACAAACAACAGTGGCAAAACAGAACAAAAATGGGTAGAGAAGCGAAGGTAATTGCATTGGACTGGACTTGAGTTCAACCCGAGGCATGAAGACTGGGAATGGCTTTAGGGATGCTTTTTTGGAACAGCCGGATCAGTAGGGATTGTGCCCATACTTCAAGAAAGACTATACATGGAGGGGCTTTTCTCAATCAAGCTTCGAGCAATGGGTGGGAAACTTGTCCTTATGGACTATGATGATAAAGAGGAATTGAAAGAACTGGTTGAGTCAGCAAAAGATTGGCTAGGGCAGTGGTTTGTCAACATTAAGAGTTGGACCCCCCATATGGTTGCCACGGAGAGATTTGTTTCGCTGAAGTGCTATGGAGTTCCTTTTCATGCATGGGGTCCTGACTTCTTCATCTCAATTGCAAATCTATGGGGGAATTTTATTACCCTAGATGAAAGCACTAGCTCTAAAAAGAGGTTTGATGTTGCAAGGTTTTTGATCTCCACATCAGAAACAGGCTTAATCTCTAAAACTCTTACATACAAAATTAACGGCCACATGTACTGCATAAAGTGCAAAGAGGAGGAAACAACAAATGGGTGCTTCTCTTTAAAAGCATATTTCCAACCAATCTCCCCATCAAACTCTGAGGAAGATTGCAGTGAATCTTGGTCCTCCGACTATCCGTCGGAAGACACTCAAAGATTTGGCCAAAATGGAGTCATGCATGGTGGTGACTCTAACCCGGCATCTAGTGAAGACGACGATGACGTGGCAGTGAAGGACAACCAGGCAGTGGGGAAGTCAACTAGGGTGAGGATTTCGAAGGACCTTTCATACTGGAACAGTGCAAATAATAAATTCAACTGGCAAGAAAGGACGGCTATTTGTTCCCAAGAAAGGCAAGAGGAGGGATGTTCAGTAGACGTAGTTGGTGATAGCCTGACACCGCCGAAGAATTCAAATGATTTCAAAAATTTGAATGGGGAAGATGGTAAGCAAGTGGTAGATCCAACGAAGCAACCCTCTGAAC